TGCGCACCAGGTGGTTTGCAGTTGCCTAGACGTTTGCGAAGTCTGCAAAGTTTGTAAACTTCGACACCACGAAGAGAGCAAATAAGTTTGCAGATTTGAAAAGCACTTTGTACATTTGTTTTACCTGTGTAACAAAGAAAGACCATGTAATCACATGGCACCTCGCATATCCCCCGACAAAGGGTCTAGGACGGTCTCGGAGGACTCTAACCGCAGTGAGCCTACGGTTGGAGGGCGACTTTGCACCGCATACCGCACCCCCGGGGCAACCAAGTGGGGGGGGGGGAGAGAGAGAGAGAGAGAGAGAGAGAGAGAGAGAGAGAGAGAGAGAGAGGGGGGGGGGGGGGGGAGGGTATTTCGGCACGAATAATTCGGCCTGCGCCAACACAAACCCGTGCACTCTCGTGCGGGACCCAAGGGGTACTTCACCACTGTGAAAAATATCGTCGTAAATTTACAAAAATTTTGTAAACTCGAATTATAACTGAAGTTGTAAATTTACGACAGCACATTTTTTACTCTCCAAGGGATTTAAAGTCGATACATACTGCATGTATTTTTACGATTTCAAATTGTAATTTTACAACTTGTGTCAAGGAAAGTTTTCCTGTAAACCTACCTACTTTTTTTCACAGTGACTCAAAATTAAAATAAAATCAGTGTACACCCTCCAAAAAATCCAGAAAAGAAATCAGAAAAAATCAACAATAATGAAAATAGAAGGAAAACAAGAAAAAAACGGGGGAAAATGGGTGTACGCTTAAATTTTTAGTGCTTGGTCCCACTGCCAGGGGACCAGGGGGTGTCTCAAAGCCTTGCTCAAAGCCAAGGATGTCGGCATGTTGTCCGTCCAGGGTACGTACTCGTCGGCGTGCATGTCGCCCGCTTGTCGTCCTGCGGCGAGCGCCGCCGCCTCCAGAAGCGCGCCTGGACCATGGTGTGGTGTGCACTGGGACTGAGCAGGCGGCTAGTGCTGCGCGCCCACCGACACCACCCCCGCGGTGCGGCCCGCCGGTAAGCACTGATAAGTGATAAGGAGTGTGCTGGACCACGGACTCCCTGGGGGTGGGGTGGGGGTGACGACTTTGGACGCCGGCCCAGCTGACGCCCCGGCCCAGCAAACGAAAATATTAGAAGTAGTTCGGGACCCCGGCCGACACGCGACACGGCGGACACACGCGGCCCGGCCAGAACCAGGTGGTACTCTGGGGTCGACTTCGGTGGGGGAAAGGGGGGGAGGGTGCTATTTTAATGGAAAGGTGCAGTCGGAAAGTGATAGTGCTTGATTGTGAAAGCTCATCCACAGGAATACATTACGAAAATGGTTTGATCCCAGTAATGTTCCATTGACGCATTCATAGCCTTCAACCAGGTTCGCGACAAACTGTACGAGAAACCCCTAGTAACCCTATGGGCGTCGTGGAGCAAGAGTCAAACAAATGAATAACCCTTTGAAGAGAAAATGAAGAAGATCCCCCGGTCGGTGCGCCTGCGGCTGCGGGCCTCGGGTCCGGGTCCATGAGAACTCGCGGCTCGGGTCAACAAGCTGACAGACATAGGTACAGATAAGCGAGCAGCCTTATGTCCAACCACGCGGTCACTGCGGAGGGACGAGCACTGTTTCAGAAAGTCGCTATTTTCCTCCAAACTCCTAAATTTTTATTTTTAATAAAAAGTTATACTTTACCTAACGGTTTTAAAAATGTGCCAGAGCTAGGATATTGCTATCGTATTATCACAGATTTTAAAAAAGAATTCAATTTACCAACATTTTGTTTCTCTTCAAAATTTGTCATAAATTGTCATAAAATTGTTCGTATTTAATGCCCCATGCACAAATTGGCATGCGCAAAATAATTTGGAGTCTCATGCCCATACATGCCCATACACTTCCCACACAGTGTTTGGAAGTTTCCAAAGTAAATAACTTCTGACGGTGCGGCATTTGCCGCTGTTTGGCGCGAGCAGCGAGGCCATAGCCGTCGCGATACAACAGCTCAGTGTCCGCGGGCGGGACCGGCACCGGAAAGAAGAAGGGGTCTGTTCCTTGTGCGGTATTTTCAAGGGGTGGGGTAAGTTTCTCACGGCCCAGAGAACACGAAAATGTCACGTAAAGGTCATTTTC